AGAGAGGATGAAAGAGAATTCCATACTGTGGGCCCTGTATACCTTACCGATTGTTGCATGTACTGTTTATCAATATTCCAAATGTGTAACTTTAGACTATTTATGATTTTAGAGTTAGTTTGGAACATAGTGGCAAAAGATGATGGTGCATTACCTTTATTACATTTTAATATGTTTAAATAAAGGCACGTGTCGATAACGTTTAAATCTAGTTCAAAAGGCACCATACTTTAAAATCACTTAAAATACACTCCCAAAAGAGGTTATTTTTTAGTGTTCTGTTTATTGGGATGACAACTACCGCAGATGTCAATTACCCCCCAAGGACAACTAACCCCGATGATAATTACCCCCGAGGACAATTCCTCCTCGATGACAATTACCCCCCCCCCCCCCCCCCCTGAGGACAACTACCCCCGTGGACAATCAGGATTCAATAGCAAAAGATGATCTGACGCATTGAGAGATGGCTACGAGCCCATAAGATCCCCTGCATGAACCCATATTCGTTCAAAATACTATAGCATTACTAAACATTTCCCTTTTATTATAATTTATGCAACGCCAGTGCGGTTGCTGATTTCCACGAAGAATGTCAGTTTTAGGTAATTGTCCAGTGCTTTTCAAAATGCATAGAAGTACATTTCTCTGGAGCAGCGTTATTTTAACCCGTTTTAGTCACGGTACCCTCTTAAGAAATAAAAAGTTTCTCCCAAATCCCAAATTCTTTACAGACTATTAATTTTGCATGACTCTGGCACTCGTCAAGTGCTATGCACACGCGTATGGGCACATTTAAGAATAAAAAGGAGAAGACATTTTCAAACTGGTAAAAAATTAGTTTGTAATCCACACACTAGAAACGATTTAAAGTACCGTATGCAGGCACCTTGCTGTCGAATGTACATGAATAAAAAGGTCATATATATTGGGTCATGACCTTGATACACGAATATGAGGATATTCAGGCCTCTCGTTGCCCTTATTTGCCTTGCTGTCAAATATTGTCGGCGAACAAGGAAGGAAGACACTTTAGTATCTTCAAAAATGTATTTTCTCATGTAATTACATATTTTAACCGTTTCTGATATTTGATTTTTTTTACAAAATCAACGTTTTCCAAATCATTCTCTTGTGGCACCCCGATTGCAAAACGCTGTGCTGGAGTTACAAAATCAAATGAGATGAATTACCAGAGAGCGGAAATTTATTTTCTTTTGACATGGCACCGTACGTATAACTTGAAGGCAATTTCTATTTCAAAATAATTTAACGTACAAGAAAACATTATACTTCAGCATGACAACAGAAATAAATAGATAACGTGAAGAAAACCTTAATTTTGGATCATGGATGAGGGCCCATTATACATACAAAGACAAAAACACGATCAGCTGATTAAAAAAGTTACAGAGGATGCATAAAGGAAATCTTACATCCAATTTCTTTGTTGTGCCATTGTTGGTGAGAGAGAGGCTGTAACGCGTACTCATCTGCGCGCAATGTATTGTTCAATTTCTAAGAAATGTAATTTCTGTTCTTTACTCGGTAGCAAAACAAAAGGGGAATTGGGCAACCTCCACCCCCATATCGAATTGAATAATTTGAAAAGACTGAAATGAACTTCATAAATAACAAAGAAAATGAAGGTTTATGAAATTTTCTGTAAATAGCAATTTGGAGAGAAGCTTGCATTATAGTACGTCACAGTGTTATAAATTCCTCGGGGGTGATTGTCATTGAGGGTAGTTGTCCTCGGGGGGTAATTGTCCTCGGGGGGTAATTGTCCTTGGGGGTAGTTGTCCTCGGGGGGTAACTGTCCTCGGGGTAGTTTTCCTGGGGGATAGTTGTCCTTGTGGGGTAGTTGTCCTCAGGGGTAATTGTCCTCGGGGGGTAATTGTCCTCGGGGGTAGTTGTCCTCGGGGGGTAATTGTCCTGGGGGGGTAGTTGTCCTCAAGGGGTAATTTTCTGGGGGGGTAATTATCCTTGGGGGGTAATTGTCCTCGGGGGCTAATTCTCCGGGGGTAATTTTCCGGGGGGTAATTTTCCGGGGGGGTAATCATCCTACGGGGGTAGTTTTCCGTGGGGTGATTGCCCAGGGGGTAATTGTCCTGATACGAAATAAAACTGATCAAATGACAATAATAATGGCAACCAGAACAAATCCGAAAAAGGTCCTATCCAAAAGCCAAAAGGAATCCCCAAAACCAGAAAGTAAACGAGTTCCCAAAATTCTCAAAATTGAAATCCAACACAACATAACACAGCGGGAGAGGACGGCAAAAGTATGTCCGTCTTCAGCGACGCGGCTTACTGGTCTATGCTTATAACTGGCAGGTATATGATATCTTTTTTCGGTTTTCCCGCTCAATTTTGCAATTTAGTCATCAATTTAATTTTGGCCATTACAAGAAGTGGGTTATTGATGTAGACAAATGCTCATGTATCCTTTACAGCTCATTTTATGTATGTTATTACCGAAGAAATAAAGAAGTCAGTCACTTAATAGTGTCTGAGAGTAATGTCTAGAAGGTAAACAGGTTTCTTGCATAATTTGAATGCTAAGACACTGCTAACTTTTAAATTTCATAGATAGGACAATTCATGATTCCTGCAAAGTTCTACAGGATTTGATGTTGGCTGCAAAAGGGAATACAGTAACTTAAAGTTAAAGAGCATTCAAATTCACGATAGTTATGAATGCCACAGCAAATTTTTAGTTCAAATTAATTTTTGTTATTCATGCAACAAGCTCTTCAAATGAGGCATGGAAATTTAAAACGAATTAATGAACGGTCACTCAATTTCATTTTCTCCTGTTCGAATTTATTATTCTTGCGAATAACTGTACAACTCAAAATATAGTAAAAATATAAAAAAAGGTAGTCACCAAATGATAATGACATCAATTAACAGACATAAGAAAAATGCAAAAATTGGGAAAAGGGATACGCATTGCATTGTGTTGTGTAGAGGGAGCCAACTTGTTAAAATTAAGGGGATAGACTTTTGAAAACTTCGCCCAAATTCCTTTCATAATTATCAATCCTACCCCAAACAAGAGGATAATTTTCTTGCAATTTCAAATTTGGAGACTATATCGGTATTTGGTTGTTTTTTCTGTCACAATTAAATTAACTTTGATATATTGCAGCATTAACTTTAGCAGATTTAATTTTCTTTTAATACTCATTAGGAACGGAAATGGTAAGCTAAGAGATCGTAATTAATGCAAGAGAAGTTCACTTAGAAATGGTCTCGTTTTGTTAATGTTTAGCAAGACAAATAAAAGGTTCGCATTGCGTTTACCGAACTTACCCGCTTCTTACAAGGCGTACATTGACCCACACATCCCAAAAGTAAGATACCTAAAAAATTTGAGCACGATCTTTGTAAGCGTACTTGTATTTTATGAAACAAATAGCCAATTCATAAAAATGTTTAAATGAACTTCAGCGTCTGCTAGCGAGTAACACATTTTGTACTGTATGCCAATGCTGGTATAGACCTGTTCGAAGATAGCCCATGTACAAACGTCTCCCCCCCCCAAAAAAAAAAACAACAACAACAACAACACCATCCACATATCTTTGAAACATGGAGATGTCCCACTTTGTGCATTGTAGAAAAATCACTGCCACAGTGATGGAGGTGCTTCATGAAGCGTTTTGTTTTAACTCTTGAAAAGAAGATGTACTGTCGTTTGAGCCTGTCATAGAATGTACCATGGGTGTATAAATGAATAATGACTTTCGTGAACATGTATCCAGCATTCTTGTCGATGGGTTTAATGGTTTGGTATAACAACCTTTATCAGCACATGCACAGATAATTATTTCTGAACTGGCAAATTAATTAAGATTTCCCTACCTTTTGAATATCATCTGTCGGATAACTTCATTTGTAGCATAGTGGACTGGAAGTCTGCCTTCACCATCCTTTATGTCCAGCTTCGCGCCATGTTCAAGAAGGTATGAGACCAAAGCCTTCTCTTGGGAAAGCGCGTGACGAAAGAAGTCCTCTGAGATCTGAGTCAAAATGGGGGGTATTTCACAAAGATCCTTAGTTGAACTTATCTCTAAGTTGGATTTAACCCTTAATGGAAATCGTTTAGCATCTTTGAAAAATATTTTTCAAGTTATTTTAAAAGGCACAAAATGTTGATTCCAATCATTCATATTTTCTTTTATCAAGGAGACTTCATGTTCTTGATGTTGAATTTATGAAAAGTCCAAATATTTTAATTTTTGCTTTTAATTTTTTTATATTTTAAGGTTACAAATGGCTCTCCATAATGTTTAAGTCCAATTAATAGTTGAGTTCGACTTAAGATCTTTGTGAAACACCCCCTGGTGTATCACGAGAGGTTATCAAAAATTAAAACAAAAAGAAATGTCCAGTGATAGTTTGTATATTTATATATGTTAATATACAGGTCATTTTAAAGTTTTATGGTAAAGACATCATTATTTTCCATCGATGTTTTAGTTGGCCAATCAAGTACGGGAACCACCGCAACCAATCCATTAAATTACATGTTTATCTCGATACGTGGAGGGAAGGGCGTCAATCGGTTACCATGTTCTGTTGAAATATAGGAGCATCGTAAAGGGATGTAAAAATTCCTTTCTACTTTTGTGTCCAAAATCAACACATTTCTCAAGGATTAATGGTTCTATCCAGTTACACCAAGAAATTAATCCCCTATATAAGCAAGGTAACAGTGATGTACGCCTAGTAATTATGGAATCTTTTTCTCGACGGAAATAAAGGGTTTTGCTTTGAGCAATTAGCCTTAACTTGCACTTGTGCTATAGAACTGGTACCATGCTACCAACAAAAGTTATCTTTAAATATTGAGTTCTGACTGTTCTGACATGACTGTTCGGTCACTATGCAGGGACAAGCTCTAAATCACAAGTGAATAATGTTAAACCCCAGCTTACAGAAAGTGCATGGCATTATTAATTTTAAATAATATTTTCTTCTCGCAAACCGGCTTATTGGTTGTCCGTGCTAGGTGAGGTTTTAGTCGTCTTTACCTGTTGGGGTCTCCCTTTTGTTTGCTCTTTTCTGCCATTGTGATCAGAAATTATGACAGCTTCATGGAGACAGGTCTTTCCATCTTGCGCCTGGATGTTCAAGGAAGCTCCATGGGAAACCAGCGACTCGACAACCAGTGTGTGGCCATTTTGAGTGGCTAGGTGAATGGCAGTCAATCCATCATCATCACGGTGATCTATAATCCCAGTGGTCTATATAACAACAAAAACAAATTTATAGATTAAAAAATAATGTTTGAAATATATGTTTAGACGTATTCCTTATGATAGAGCACTGGTAGCATTCCATAATTACATGGACATTCAACTAGCTTTGAATGGCGAGAAATTATCGAGATTTAAAAGAAATCTAAATAGCCTACAACTTGTGGAATCTGAATATGATTATATCTAAGCCCAGAATATATGAATTTCAAATAAACTCTACTTAGCTATATTTGCCTTTAGTATTACCTATTTTTGTTATCGTAATTTGACGCTTTTCTGTTATTTATATTGGCTCCTCACTATGTAGAGGAAGGATTTATTACACACCTTTGCATGCTTTGCTAAGATGTCGGTAGAGTCGGCACTTCCTGTCTTTGCAGATAGATGCAGTGGTGTCTGTCCATTGGCATCCTTTCCATCAACTAGGGCCCCTTCCTCCAGCAGGACCTTAACAATATCGAGGCCATCATTCATAGCAGCAATGTGCAAGGGGGTGCAGCCGTTTCTGTTACCTATATTCACACTTATTCCTTGCGTTACCAAATACTTTGTGACACCAAGACGACCCTCCTGAGCAGCACTGTGTAATGCGGTACTACCATCATTATCTCCCTTATTCACATCCGCTCCTTGGCTGATGAGATATTTGGTAACATCAAGATGGCCCTTTTGAGTGGCAAGTTGTAATGCAGTCCAACCGTTATTATTTCCCCTATTCACCTCAGCTCCTTGACTGATGAGATATTTGGTGACACCAAGCTGACCATTGAAAGCAGCAAAGTGCAATGCAGTCGTACCCTTATCATCTCCCCTATTCACCTCAGCTCCTTGACTGATGAGATATTTGGTGACACCAAGCTGACCATTGAAAGCAGCAAAGTGCAAAGCAGTCGTACCCTTATCATCTCCCCTATTCACCTCAGCTCCTTGACTGATTAGATATTTCATGACATCAAGATGCCCATTTCGAGCAGCAATTTGTAATGCAGTCGAACCCTCATAATCTCCATCATTCACCTCAGCTCCTTGAATGATGAGATATTTGGTGACATCCAGATGACCATTTTGAGCTGCAAGTTGTAATGCAGTCCTACCGTCATTATTTCCCTTATTCAATTCAGCTCCTTGACTGATCAGATATTTGGTGGCATCAAGTTGACCCCTCAGAGCAGCATAGTGTAATGCAGTCAAACCCTCATTATCTCCATCATTCACCTCAACTCCTTGACTGATGAGATATGTGGTGACATCAAGATGACCGAATTGAGCAGCAACGTGTAATGCAGTCGTACCATTATTATCACCCCGATTAACCTCGGCTCCTTGACTGATGAGATATGTGGTAACATCCACATGACCTTTGTATGCAGCAAGTTGTAATGCAGTCGAACCCTCATTATCTCCCTGATTCACCTCAGCTCCATGGCTGAGGAGATATTTCACGACATCCAGATGACCATTTTGAGCAGCAACTTGTAATGCAGTCGAACTCATTTTTTTTTCTCCGTGATTCACCTCAGCTCCTTGACTGATGAGACATTTCATGACATCCAAATGACCACTTTGAGCAGCAAATTGTAATGCAGTCGAACACTCATTATTTCCCTTATTCATCCCAGCTCCTTGACTGATCAGATAGTTGGTGACACCCAGTTGACCACTCAGAGCAGCAAGTTGTAATGCAGTCGAACCCTCATTATTTTCCTCATTTATGTCAGCTCCTTGACTGATGAGATATGTGGTGACATCCAGATGACCAAATTGAGCAGCAACTTGTAATGCAGTACACCCGTCATTATCTCCCTGATTCACCTCGGCTCCTTGACTGATGAGATATTTGGTGACTTCAAGGTGACCATTCGAAGCAGCACTTCGTAATGCAGTCATATCCTCATTATCTCCCTTATCCAACTCAGCTCCTTGACTGATGAGATATGTGGTAACATCCAGATGACCAAATTGAGCAGCAACTTGTAATGCAGTACACCCGTCATTATCTCCCTGATTCACCTCGGCTCCTTGACTGATGAGATATTTGGTGACTTCAAGGTGACCATTGGAAGCAGCACTTCGTAATGCAGTCCTTCCCTCATCATCTCCCTTATTCAACTCAGCTCCTTGACTGATGAGATATGTGGTAACATCCAGATGACCATTTACAGCAGCAAGTTGTAATGCAGTCGAAGCCTTATTATTTCCCTCATTTATCTCAGCTCCATGACTTATCAGATATTTGGTGACATCAAGATGACCCTCCTTAGCAGCACTGCATACTGCAGTCCAACCATCATTATCTCCCTTATTCACCTCAGCTCCTTGAATGATGAGATATTTGGTGACATCAAGTTGACCAGTCTGAGCAGCAATGTGCATGGCTGTGCTGCCGTTATTATTCTCCTCATTTATGTCAGCTCCTTGACTGATGAGATATGTGGCGACATCCAGTTGACCAAATTGGGCAGCAACGTGTAATGCAGTCCAACCCTTATTATCTCCCTCATTCACCTCTGCTCCTTGAATGATGAGATATTTGGTGACTTCAAGGTGACCGTTGGAAGCCGCAAGTTGTAATGCAGTCGCACCCTCATTATCTTTATCATTCACGTCAGCTCCTTGACTGATGAGATATTTGGTGGCATCAAGTTGACCACTCAGAGTAGCAAAGTGGAATGCAGTCAAACCCTCATTATCTCCCTTAAGCACCTCAGCTCCTTGACTGATGAGATATGCGGTGACATCCAGATGACCATTTTGAGCAGCAGCTTGTAATGGAGTCGAACCCTTATTATCTCCCTCATTCACCTCAGCTCCTTGAATGATGAGATATTTAGTGACCTCAAGGTGACCATTGGAAGCAGCACCTCGTAATGCAGTCCTACCCTCATTATCTCCCTTATTCACCTCAGCTCCTTGACTGATGAGATATTTTGTGACATCCAGATGACCATTTTGAGCGGCAAGTTGTAATGCAGTCAAAGCCTTATTATTTCCCTTATTCACGTCAGCTCCTTGAATGATGAGATATTTGTTGACATCAAGTTGACCACTCAGAGCTGCAAGGTGTAATGCAGTCAAACCCTGATTATCTTTATCATTCACGTCAGCTCCTTGACTGATGAGATATTTGGTGACATCAAGTTGACCACTCAGAGCTGCAAGGTGTAATGCCGTCAAACCCTGATTATCTTTATCATTCACGTCAGCTCCTTGACTGATGAGATATTTGGTGACCTCAAACTGACCACTCAGAGCAGCTCTGTGTAATACAGTCCCACCCTGATTATCTCCCTTAAGCACCTCAGCTCCTTGACTGATGAGATATGCTATGACATCCAGATGACCATTTTGAGCAGCCATGTGCAATGCAGTGAAACCGTCATTATCTCCCTCATTCACCTTAGCTCCTTGAATGATGAGATATTCGGTGACATCAAGTTGACCTTTCAGAGCCGCAAGGTGTAATGCAGTCCAACCTTCATTAACTTTATCATTCACGTCAGCTCCTTCAATGATGAGATATTTGGTGGCATCAAGCTGACCATTCAGAGCAGCAACGTGCATTGCAGTGACACCTTCATTATCTCTTTTCAGCCCCTCAGCTCCTTGAATGAAGAGACATTCGGTGATATCAAGGTGACCACTCAGAGCAGCACGTTGTAATGCAGACAAACCCTCATTATCTACCTCATTCACGTCAGCTCCTTGGCTGATCAAATATTTGGTGACATCAAGATGACCATTCTGATCAGCAAGTTGTAATGCAGACAAACCCTCATTATCTACCTCATTCACATCAGCTCCTCCGCTGATCAGATATTGGGCGACATCAAGATGACCCTCCTGAGCAGCTCTGTGTAATGCAGTCTTACCGACATTATCCCCCTTATTCACCTCAGCTCTTCGGCTGATCAGATATAGGGTGATATCAAGATGACCATCCTGAGCAGCAAATTGTAATGCAGTCGCACCCTTTATATAATCCCCCGCATTCACGTCGGCTCCTTGAATGATGAGATATTTGGTGACTTCAAGGTGACCATTGTGAGCAGCTCTGTGTAATGCAATGAAACCCTTATTATCTCCCTTATTCACGTCAGCTCCTTGAATGATGAGATATTTGGTGACTTCAAGGTGACCATTCTGAGCAGCAACTTGTAATGCAGTCCTACCCCCATTATCTCCCTTATTCACCTCAGCTCCTTGACTGATCAGATACTTGATCACATCAATATGACCATTTTGAGCAGCGACTTGTAATGCAGTCCAACCCTCATTATCTCCCTCATTCACGTCAGCTCCTTGAATTATGAGATATTTGGTGACCTCGAGGTGACCTTTGAAAGCAGCATCTTGTAATGCAGACAAACCCTCATTATCTACCTCATTCACGTCAGCTCCTTGGCTGATCAGATATTTGGTGACATCAAGATGACCCTTCTGAGCAGCTCTGTGTAATGCAGTCTTACCGACATTATCCCCCTTATTCACGTCAGCTCCTTGGCTGATCAGATATTTGGTGACATCAAGATGACCATTCTGATCAGCAAGTTGTAATGCAGACAAACCCTCATTATCTACCTCATTCACGTCAGCTCCTCCGCTGATCAGATATTGGGTGACATCAAGATGACCCTTCTGAGCAGCTCTGTGTAATGCAGTCTTACCGACATTATCCCCCTTATTCACCTCAGCTCTTCGGCTGATCAGATATAGGGTGACATCAAGATGACCATTCTGAGCAGCAAATTGTAATGCAGTCGCACCCTTTATATTACCCCCCGCATTCACGTCAGCTCCTTGAATGATGAGATATTTGGTGACTTCAAGGTGACCATTCTGAGCAGCAACTTGTAATGCAATGAAACCCTTATTATCCCCCTTATTCACGTCAGCTCCTTGAATGATGAGATATTTGGTGACTTCAAGGTGACCATTCTGAGCAGCAACTTGTAATGCAGTCCTACCCTCATTATCTCCCTTATTCACCTCAGCTCCTTGACTGATCAGATACTTGATCACATCAAGATGACCATTTTGAGCAGCGACTTGTAATGCAGTCCAACCCTCATTATCTCCCTCATTCACGTCAGCTCCTTGAATTATGAGATATTTGGTGACCTCGAGGAGACCTTCGAAAGCAGCAACTTGTAATGCAGTCCTACCCCCATCATCTCCCTTATTCACCTCAGCTCCTTGGCTGATCAGATATTCGGTGACATCAAGGTGACCATTCGTAGTGGCAAGTAGAAATGCAGTACAACTGGCACTATATCTGTTATTCAACTCAGCTCCTTCACTGATCAAATATTTCGTGATATCAAAATGACCATTAAAAGCAGCCCAACGTAGTGCAGTCCAACCTTGATTAATTACCCTATTTACGTCAGCTCCTTGACTGATGAGATATTTGATGACTTCAAGTTGACCATTGAGAGCAGCACTGCCTAATGCAGTCGTACCCTCATTATCTCCCCTATCTACCTCAGCTCCTTGAATTATGAGATATTTGGTAACTTCAAGGTGATTATTGAGAGCAGCCTTTTGTAATGCAGTCCTACCCCCATTATCTCCCTTATTCACCTCAGCTCCTTGACTGATCAGATACTTGGTCACATCAAGATTACCATTTTGAGCAGCAACTTGTAATGTAGTCAAACCCTCATTATCTCCCCTATTTACCTCAGCTCCTTGACTGATCAGATATTCAGTGACAAGAAGATGATCGTTGAAAGCAGCTCTGCATAATGCAGTCCTACCGTCATTATCTTCCCTATTTACATCAGCTTCTTGACTGATCAGATATTTGGTGACATCCAGTTGACCACTCAGAGCAGCAAATTGTAATGCAGTCTCACCCTGATTATCCCCCGCATTCACGTCAGCTCCTTGAATGATGAGATATTTGGTGACTTCAAGGCGACCAATCTGAGCAGCAACTTGTAATGCAGTCCTACCCCCATTATCTCCCTTATTCACCTCAGCTCCTTGACTTATCAGATACTTGATCACATCAAGATGACCATTATGAGCAGCGACTTTTAATGCAGTCCAACCCTCATTATCTCCCTCATTCACGTCAGCTCCTTGAATTATGAGATATTTGGTGACCTCGAGGTGACCTCTGAAAGCAGCACTGTGTAATGCAGTCTTACCGTCATTATCTTCCTTATTCAGCTGAGCACCTTGACTGAGGAGATATTTGGTGACATCAAGGTGACCATTCTGAGCAGCAACTCGTAATGCAGTCGCACCCTTATTATCCCCCACATTCACGTCAGCTCCTTGGCTGATCAGATATTCGGTGACATCAAGATGACTATTCTGAGCAGCAAAGTGTAATGCAGTACTCCCGTCATTATTTCCCTTAAGCACCTCAGCTTCTTGACTGATCAGATATTTGGTGACATCCAGTTGACCACTCAGAGCAGCAAAGTGTAATGCAGTACTCCCGTCATTATCCCCCGCATTCACGTCAGCTCCTTGAATGATGAGATATTTGGTGACTTCAAGGCGACCATTCTGAGCAGCAAATTGTAATGCAGTCGCACCCTTATTATCCCCCGCATTCACGTCAGCTCCTTGAATGATGAGATACTTGATCACATCAAGATGACCATTTTGAGCAGCGACTTGTAATGCAGTCCAACCCTCATTATCTCCCTCATTCACATCAGCTCCTTGAATAATGAGATATTTGGTGACCTCGAGGTGACCACTAAGAGCAGCAAGCTGTAATGCAGTCGAACCCTCATCATCTCCCTTATTCACCTCAGCTCCTTGGCTGATCAGATATTCAGTGACATCAAGATGACTATTCTGAGCAGCAAGGTGTAGTGCAGTCGAACCCTCATCATCTCCCTTATTCACCTCAGCTCCTTGGCTGATCAGATATTTGGTGACATCAAGATGACTATTCTGAGCAGCAAGGTGTAGTGCAGTCGAACCCTCATCATCTCCCTTATTCACCTCAGCTCCTTGGCTGATCAGATATTTGGTGGCATCATATTGACCACTAAAAGCAGCAAGATGTAATGCAGTCGAACCCTCATCATCTCCCTTATTCACCTCAGCTCCTTGGCTGATCAGATATTCGGTGACATCAAGATGACCATTCTGAGCAGCAAGGTGTAGTGCAGTCGAACCCTCATCATCTCCCTTATTCACCTCAGCTCCTTGGCTGATCAGATATTCGGTGACATCAAGATGACCATTCTGAGCAGCATTGTGTAATGCAGTCGAACCCTCATCATCTCCCTTATTCACCTCAGCTCCTTGGCTGATCAGATATTCGGTGACATCAAGAGGACTATTCTGAGCAGCAAGGTGTAGTGCAGTCGAACCCTCATCATCTCCCTTATTCACCTCAGCTCCTTGGCTGATCAGATATTCGGTGACATCAAGATGACTATTCTGAGCAGCAAGGTGTAGTGCAGTCAAACCCTCATCATCTCCCTTATTCACCTCAGCTCCTTGGCTGATCAGATATCTGGTGACATCAAGATGATCGTTCTGAGCAGCTCTGTGTAATGCAGTACACATGTCATTATCTCCCTTATTCACCTCAGCTCCTTGACTGATCACATATTTGGTGACATCAAGATGACCGTACACTGCTGCAATGTATAAAGGAGTCCAGCCTTTAGCATTGCTTTGATTCACTTTTGCCCCCTGACTGATAAAGTATTGTATTACATCAAGATGGCCATTCCTTACAGCGCTGTATAATGCAGAGTAGCCGCCCTTGTCTTCTTTGTCCATATTAGCTCCATGGCTGAGTATAAATGTTATTGCTTTAACATGTCCGAATGATGCAGCAAGATGTAAGGGTGTTTGTCCATCTGGAGTCGCCTTCTCCACATCAGCTCCATGATTAATGAGATACTCGATGACATTCTCCTGGCCATTCATGACCGACATGTGTAAGGTTGTGTTTCCATCTTTGTCTGTCTGGTTAATGTTTGAACCAAGTTTTAACCAACTTTCAACGGCTTCAAGATCGCCCCGCAATACTGCATTGTGGATCTCTTCATTCACATCTTCCATATTTGTTAATGTCGCGCATTATCACTAGATCAGTAAGATCTCTGGTCGCAGAGAATTATGTCCTATTCCTTCCTTGCAATCATCCGTTAAACTTTCATTACTTGACATCACTGTGTGACTAGAGAATGACTAGAGTAACATTAGATTTGTTTGTCATCGAAGTTCGATCTGTTCGAACTGTGCACAGAAAAGCGGAAAAGATAAAACTGCACACGACTAAGCAAATAAAAAGTTAATGATAAAGCCTGGTGATAAAGATTTGTATTATTGATGACTAAAGTCCCTTTACTGAAATTACTGAACCCCCCCCCCCCCCCTTCCTCTCTGCCTCCTGGCCTAGTATATTCCCACGGTATCTTTACAACTCTAGAAGAAATTGATATATTTTGGTCAATTTGAATTTTATGCACTTTTCAAGCCCTCCTTCGATATCAATTCAATAATATATGAATGCTCATCTGTACTCCCAATCCCTAAAATTATATTACTTTTCTGTAAAAACATGTTTCCTTTCCGAACCCACACCTGAAACGGGGTCCTATCAGAATTCAAATAAGTGCAACAGTAGATTTATCATTATTTTCTTCCAAATAATGAAATGAAAAAGTATACCGGGAATAAACTTGTATTGACCTTGTCACCCGCAGTGTGTGAGGGTGAAAAGATAACGCACAAAAAGCATCTGAAACCAGGGCAGTTCTAGAAGAATTTTTTGTTCGGTGGTTACAGGGCTTTGGGGGGAATTTGGTAGTTCCTGCATTCAATTGCCCTCGAAACTTGTAGGGGGCTTTAAGAGAGTGGGGTGCTTGAGCAACCCACCCCCCCCCCCTCAAGAAACGCTTCTTAATACGTTGAGATTTTTGTCGTATCTCAACGCATATCTGTAAGGTGCTCATTTAACTTTCGTCAATTACCCTGATTACAGGCTGGCTGACGCATGATATATGTACTGATGGCGATATCTTCAATATATTGTGGCATTATGAACATTGTATCAGCAGGTGAAATATACAGTCTAAGTAGTTAGGCTATGCCATTAATTTTAGTATTTCAGTGATATAATGATATTTAATTGATGTATCACTCTAGCATGCTTGAGAATGGTTTGATCAATATAACATAATGTAAGAACAGATCCTGTATCCTAAAAAAATGTATCATTAACAACTGCCACTGCTCTATCCAACATTTTCTAATAGCAAATCAAATGAAAAATTTAATGAAGCTTATAGAAATTATTGTATCTTAGAATAACAAATGTGTGAACCAGTGCCCTGTGCAGGCAAATATAATAAAACACATAGCTCATAATCTTCAGATATACAATATGGGTCTCGTCGTGTAGGACATACGCTTATTAGGAAAATTATTAATTTTATTTTAAATTCCTGTGACTTCTTTCAATTTAATGCAGTACGGAAACATTAAAATATATATGATATACGTGACGATTTCATGGTTCACCGCTTTATTCAAACTTGTGTTTCCATCTGGGTCTGTTTTGTTTATGCTAAAGCCCTGCTTTAACAAGGTTTGTTTTAACACTTTCAATTGTACCTTTCTATACTGCATCATGGAGGTGGTTTATGTCATTCATATTTGTTAATGTCACGCAGCATCAATAGATCAATAAGTGTTTGGTCGAAGATGTGTAGGTTCCTTCCTTGTGATCATCGACATCACTATGTGACTAGAGAACGACTAGAGTAACATGAGATTCATTTGTCATCGAAGTTCGATCTGTTTGAACTGCATGTGCACAGAAAAGCGGAAAATATAAAAACTGCACACGACTAAGCAAATAAAAAGTTAATCATTAAGCCTGGTGATAAAGATTTGTATTATTGATGACTAAAGTCCCTTTTCTGAAATTACTGAACCCCCCCCCCCCCTTCCTTTCTCTCCCTCCTGGCCTAGTATATTCCCACGGTATCTTTACAACTCTAGCAGAAATTGATATATTTTAGTCAATTTGAAGTTCATGCACTTTTCAAACTCTCCTTCGATATCAATTCAATAATATATGAATGCTCATCTGTACTCCGAATCCCTAAAATTATATTACTTTTCTGTAAAAACATGTTTCCTTTCCGAACCCACACCTGAAACGGGGTCCTATCAGAATTCAAATAAGTGCAACAGTAGATTTATCATTATTTTCTTCCAAATAATGAAATGAAAAAGTATACCGGGAATAAACTTGTATTGACCTTGTCACCCGCAGTGTGTGAGGGTGAAAAGATAACGCACAAAAAGCATCTGAAACCAGGGCAGTTCTAGAAGAATTTTTTGTTCGGTGGTTAGAGGGCTTTGGGGGGAATTTGGTAGTTCCTGCATTCAATTGCCCTCGAAACTTGTAGGGGGCTTTAAGAGAGTGGGGTGCTTGAGCAACCCATCCCCCCCCTCAAGAAACGCTTCTTAATACGTTGAGATTTTTGTCGTATCTCAACGCATATCTGTAAGGTGCTCATTTAACTTTCGTCAATTACCCTGATTACAGGCTGGCTGACGCATGATATATGTACTGATGGCGATATCTTCAATATATTGTGGCATTATGAACATTGTATCAGCAGGTGAAATATACAGTCTAAGTAGTTAGGCTATGCCATTAATTTTAGTATTTCAGTGATATAATGATATTTAATTGATGTATCACTCTAGCATGCTTGAGAATGGTTTGATCAATATAACATAATGTAAGAACAGATCCTGTATCCTAAAAAAATGTATCATTAACAACTGCCACTGCTCTATCCAACATTTTCTAATAGCAAATCAAATGAAAAATTTAATGAAGCTTATAGAAATTATTGTATCTTAGAATAACAAATGTGTGAACCAGTGCCCTGTGCAGGCAAATATAATAAAACACATAGCTCATAATCTTCAGATATACAATATGGGTCTCGTCGTGTAGGACATACGCTTATTAGGAAAATTATTAATTTTATTTTAAATTCCTGTGACTTCTTTCAATTTAATGCAGTACGGAAACATTAAAATATATATGATATACGTGACGATTTCATGGTTCACCGCTTTATTCAAACTTGTGTTTCCATCTGGGTCTGTTTTGTTTATGCTAAAGCCCTGCTTTAACAAGGTTTGTTTTAACACTTTCAATTGTACCTTTCTATACTGCATCATGGAGGTGGTTTATGTCATTCATATTTGTTAATGTCACGCAGCATCAATAGATCAATAAGTGTTTGGTCGAAGACGTGTAGGTTCCTTCCTTGTGATCATCGACATCACTATGTGACTAGAGAACGACTAGAGTAACATGAGATTCATTTGTCATCGAAGTTCGATCTGTTTGAACTGCATGTGCACAGAAAAGCGGAAAATATAAAAACTGCACACGACTAAGCAAATAAAAAGTTAATCATTAAGCCTGGTGATAAAGATTTGTATTATTGATGACTACAGTCCCTTTTCTGAAATTACTGAACCCCCCCCCCCCCCTTCCTTTCTCTCCCTCCTGGCCTAGTATATTCCCACGGTATCTTTACAACTCTAGCAGAAATTGATATATTTTAGTCAATTTGAAGTTCATGCACTTTTCAAACTCTCCTTCGATATCAATTCAATAATATATGAATGCTCATCTGTACTCCCAATCCCTAAAATTATATTACTTTTCTGTAAAAACATGTTTCCTTTCCGAACCCACACCTGAAACGGGGTCCTATCAGAATCCAAATAATGAAATGAAAAGGTATACCGGAAATCAACTTGTATTGACCTTGTCACCCGCAGTGTGTGAGGGTGAAAAGATAACGCACAAAAAGCATCTGAAACCAGGGCAGTTCTAGAAGAATTTTTTGTTCGGTGGTTAGAGGGCTTTGGGGGGAATTTGGTAGTTCCTGCATTCAAGTGCCCTCAAAACTTGTAGGGGGCTTTAAGAGAGTGGGGTGCTTGAGCACCCCCCCCCCCCTCAAGAAACGCTTCTTAATACGTTGAGATTTTTGTCGTATCTCAACGCATATCTGTAAGGTGCTCATTGAACTTTCGTCAATTACCCTGATTACAGGCTGGCTGACGCATGATATATGTACTGATGGCGATATCTTCAATATATTGTGGCATTATGAACATTGTATCAGCAGGTGAAATATACAGTCTAAGTAGTTAGGCTATGCCATTAATTTTAGTATTTCAGTGATATAATGATATTTAATTGATGTATCACTCTAGCATGCTTGAGAATGGTTTGATCAATATAACATAATGTAAGAACAGATCCTGTATCCTAAAAAAATGTATCATTAACAACTGCCACTGCTCTATCCAACATTTTCTAATAGCAAATCAAATGAAAAATTTAATGAAGCTTATAGAAATTATTGTATCTTAGAATAACAAATGTGTGAACCAGTGCCCTGTGCAGGCAAATATAATAAAACACATAGCTCATAATCTTCAGATATACAATATGGGTCTCGTCGTGTAGGACATACGCTTATTAGGAAAATTATTAATTTTATTTTAAATTCCTGTGACTTCTTTCAATTTAATGCAGTACGGAAACATTAAAATATATATGATATACGTGACGATTTCATGGTTCACCGCTTTATTCAAACTTGTGTTTCCATCTGGGTCTGTTTTGTTTATGCTAAAGCCCTGCTTTAACAAGGTTTGTTTTAACACTTTCAATTGTACCTTTCTATACTGCATCATGGAGGTGGTTTATGTCATTCATATTTGTTAATGTCACGCAGCATCAACAGATCAATAAGTGTTTGGTCGAAGACGTGTAGGTTCCTTCCTTGTGATCATCGACATCACTATGTGACTAGAGAACGACTAGAGTAACATGAGATTCATTTATCATCGAAGTTCGATCTGTTTGAACTGCATGTGCACAGAAAAGCGGAAAATATAAAAACTGCACACGACTAAGCAAATAAAAAGTTAATCATAAAGCCTGGTGATAAAGATTTGTATTATTGATGACTAAAGTCCCTTTACTGAAATTACTGAACCCCCCCCCC